GCTGACATATTTTGCAGCTTCCTAAAACTATGACCTAAAACAGCATTTTATAATTATTATTCATGATTATTCATCATATTAATTGACGTACTACTTTTTTGCACTTATTAAAGTTCATTTGTCACTGAAGGAGCATTTAAAGGGTGATTAGAAACTTTCCAGTGACCTAAAACACGCTTTTCCTTACACATGCATGAACATTTTAACTTCGAATCTAGGTTTTGGTTACAAAACAGACAAATTTTGCATCAACTACCCATGCATGTATTAAATATGAGCTGGAATGGGACTCATTTTTACATTTAAATTTTACATTCAAGACAAAAATGTCTTCTAATTATGAATCATCCACAATAAATATTGAGCATGAAGTAAGGCTGGCCTTAGTAAAACTGGTTTTGACTGGTGTAATTATCAATATGAGATGGTAAACAACTCAAGTTGCATGATTCTCCTTTCTTCAAGAATCCTCTGTAACACACTCACACACTTATCAGACTTCTCAAGGAAGAGCAGATGAGATGAAGGTCCCTCATAAGCACAGATGTGTTGGAGTCTGTTTATCTCCACGCTGACCTTGACGGTGGAATAAAACACTGAAGGCACCAGTTCTCTCTCTTATCACTCCGGCGGGCATGAGATACTTTAAACACCATCGCTGTTTCTCCACACGATTCACAGAAACGCTCAGGAATGCATAGCCGCAGATGACTCTTAAACACAAAGACGTGAGCCACAACAACGGCTGAATCACGTACCACTTACACTGAGCCGTTTAGAAACAGAACTGTGAAAAAATTCACTGGAGAAACATCTAAAGCACGTCTGAAGAGCAGCAGGTGAAAATGCATGTACAAAAACAAAGCAGAACAAAAAAACTTCAATAACCTGACCTTTCTGAGTGGAACTGTAGGTTTGATTTATGTGGGATTGATTGGATAATGAATTAGTTGATCTAAAATATAAGAAGGACGAATGACATCTGCTGAAATTGACTTTTTTTTATACTTTAATAAAAGATTACAAACACAAAAAGTCTTCTTAATATGAACTGTCCAGAATGAAAATGTTGACTGCAATAACTTTCCTAGTCCACTTGTCAAATACACCTGGTATTACTAATATCGTTGGCTCTACATCAGATTGCTTTTGTTCATTTTTGTATAAAAGCGACTGCTAAAATGCAATATAAATGTAAGAAAGTCACAATCAATACAGACAAATGCACAACAGCCCAACACACATGAAGCTTTCTGAACACATCTGAACACTTCTATCACTAACATCACACCGAACGGCAGCTGAAACAGTAAATCCATGTGAACGTGCACCAGCTGCGGGATATTTCTGACCCTCAATGTGACACACAGGGGTTTCAATTATTTTAGGTGAGGGTGAGCGCATGTGCGGGTGTTTGTTCATCTGTATTTGTCTCTGTGTGTGAGAGTGTGTGTGTGTGAGTGTGAGTGTGAGTGTGAGTGTGTGTGTGTGTGTGTGTGTGTGAGTGTGTGTGTGTGTGAGTGTGAGTGTGAGTGTGAGTGTGTGTGTGTGTGTGTGTGTGTGAGTGTGTGTGTGTGTGAGTGTGAGTGTGAGTGTGAGTGTGTGTGTGTGTGTGTGTGTGTGTGTGTGAGTGTGAGTGTGTGTGGGCTGAGAGTGGAATTGATTTTACAGCCTGACGCCCAACTGCGTGTTTAACAAGTGTCTCACAGTAGATCCCTCTCCACGTCTCAAAGACTTTGCCAAATGCCTCACCGCCCAGCAAAAACCCAGCAGTGGCGACACACAGACGTCAGACTCTGCTGCATGCAGCTTTTTCCACTCCGTACACGTTAAAGCACAACTAGCCTCTTCATAATCAATTTTACAGCAAAATGATTTAAACACATGCAATGGAAAAGCAGCGTTCAGATGTTGAATTACATCTAGTATATTCTACATCCAGTGACATGTCCTGCAACGAGACTAAACTATTAGATAAAACAGCATTTTATAATTATGGTTCATGATTATTCATCATTTTAATGCACGGGTATTTATTTGTATGATTATACATTCGTCACTAAAGGAGCATTTAACAGGCGATCAGACCTAAAACACACACATGCATGTACATTTTAACCTAAAATCTTGGTGCTCATTAATAAATAAACTCCATGGACACATTTTTCAGCAACTACCCATGCATATTAAATATGAGCTGAAATGGTCTCTGAAAGTCATATTTACATTTTAATAAAAGTTTATGAAGACAAAATACAATTCAGCATTTTATAATTATTATTCATGATTCATGATGATATTAATTGACAGACCACTTATTTGCACTTTTAAAAAGTTAATTTGTCACTGAAGGAACATTTAACAGGAACATTTTAGTAACCTTGGATAACAAAGTCCACTAAAGGAGGTAGATCTTTTTCATATTTGGCTCCCAAACTCTGGAATAGTAAGTAAGAAAACATTTATTTATATAGCACCTTTCAAAACAAAGTTACAAAGTGCTTTACAATAAAATCAGTACAGTGACAAAATACAAAAAATACCATCAAAATTAAGAAAAAGCAATATGATAAAAATGAGTCTTAAGAAGAGACTTAAAAGAGGATACAGTAGGAGCCTGCCTAATATCCCCAGGCAGGGAGTTCCATAGCTTAGGCGCACGGATAGCAAAGGCGCGGTCACCTTTGGTAACAAGTCGAGATTTTTCACAGGCAACCAGTGAAGAGCAGCAAGAATCGGTGTAATGTTGTAACTTTGTGTAACGGTGTAACTTTTCTTAGTACGAGTTAAAAGCCTAGCAGCAGCATTTTGAATCAGCTGCAATCTTTGGAGATTTCTCTTGCTAATACCAGAATAAAGTGCATTACAATAATCAAGACTGGAAGAAATAAAAGCATGAATGACCCTTTCCAAATCTGCTAAAGAAAGGAATGACTTTATCTTCGTTAGTTGCCTCAGTTCTGCAAAACAAAACTGCACCACTTTAGTCACCAGAACATCAAAGGACAGTTCTGAGTCAAAAACTACACCTAAGTTGCGAGCCTCTTTTCGAACATTGTTAGATAAGGCACCCAGACTAGAGGAGAGCTTATTAATATTAGCACTACTGGGGATGCATGGGGTAATTATAAGCACTTCTGATTTGGAGTCATTCAACTGCAGAACATTTTTCGACATCCAATTTTTGATTTCGATGAAGCATGACATAATATGGAATGGATCAATAAAACCAGGCTTTACCGGGACATACAATTGCGTATCATCTGCATAGCAGTGGAACTCAATGTCATAACTGCGCATAATTTGACCCAGGGGTAACATGTAGATAGTAAACAGAAGGGGACCCAATGTATCTCATAACCTTGTACTTCAGTTACATCTGATCAAATGCGCGTTAACATTCTTTTGCTTGGGTTGAACATCATTTTTGCTTAGTTGGAACAGCAGCTACGCTAATTATGTCTCTATTTCCTTCTCTGTTTCTGGGATTGGCATCCCGTGGTAACTAGGAATTACAAAAGCTTCAGTCTGGATCCAGCCCTTACTAAGACCTGAGATGACCGAACACCTGAGAAGAGATGATGCCAACCCCTCAGAAGACCTCAGATGATGCCAACCCTCAGACAACATACAAAACTACCAAATTTTGCTATAAGTTTGATCGCAACATATAATCATTGCTGTTAATAGTGTTCACCGTCTGTTTGATTACATGACATTAACTAACTGCTTGATTTTTACAGTACACTTCTGCCATATGGACGTCAACTTGAGATGGTCAACACTGATAATCTATTACTAAATATAATGTAGAAACTTAAATTTTCTGTAAAGCTGCTTTGCAACGATTTGCATTGTGAAAAGCGCAATACAAATAAACGTGAATTGAATTGAACCTAAAACAAACTCCATGGACCCATTTTGCATCAACTACTCATGCATATATTAAATATGAGCTGAAATGTACTCTGAAAGACATTTTTACATTTTAATAAAAGTTCACGAAGACAAAAATGTATTCTTGATGTGGAACGTCCACAATAAAGATTCAACATTAAGTTTATATTTTTTTAGTGTGACAAAATCCTAAAACTATGACCTAAAACAGCATTTTATAATTATTATTCATGATTCATGATATTAATTGACGGACCACTTATTTGCACTTTTAATAGTTCATTTGTCACTGAAGGAACATTTAGGAACATTTTAGGTTCCAGTAACCTAAAACACACTTTTCCTTATACATGCATGTACATTTTACCCTAAAAAAAAAAAAAACCTCCATGGACACATTTTGCATCAATTACCCATGCATATATTAAATATGAGCTGAAGTGGATGCTGAAAGGCATCTTAAAATTGTAATAAAAGTTCATGAAAACGTCCACAATACATGAAATTGACATCACTTGAGTGTGACAAACTCCCTAAAACTATTACCCAAATCAAAATTTTTCTGATTCTTATTCATGATAATTCATCATATTAATGTTATTAATTATTTTAAGTTAATTTGTCACTGCAGCAGCATTTAACAGGTGATTAGAGACTTTCCAGTGACCTTCAACACACTTTTCTTTATACATGCATATACATTTTAACCTAAAATCTTCGTTTTGTTTAAAAAAATAAACTCCTTAGAAACATTTAGCAGCATTTAACAGGTGATTAGAAACTTTCCAGCTCCCTAAAATACACACACGCATCTACATGTCAACCTAAAATCTTGGGCTTGATTGAAAACAAACTCCACGGTCAAGTTGTGCATCAACTACCCATGCATATTTTAAACTAAATGTATATTATAGTTCTCCCTGGTGCATATTTGGCAAATGCAGCACTGCATTTCTAGCGCCCGTCCGACAAATATTCTAAACATGAAACATGACGTGCAGCATATGGGGATCAGACACAAACAGACACCAGTTAAACGCTGCCATCAGAGCCGAACATGCGCAAAACAGCAGACGGAGATTGCAGTAAACGCTGATACTCACCCTGAGCGGACCAGAGCAGCCACAGCAAACCCAGCAGAAACAGCAGTGATGTCCAGCGGGTCTGAACCTGTAGCTCCATCCCTGAGACTCGAGCATGGAACCAGGGCATGGAAACACACGCACGCCGCTCGCTCCACAGTTACTCCACACTGACGGCCGGCCTGCGACGGACAGAGAGAAAGAGGGTGTTACTCTCTCGCTGCGATTGGGACGGCCCCTCCACTCTGGACACCTTGTGGAGAGACAATAAAAGCAGCAGTTGATCTCTGCGGCTCAGCCGGGACCCCAGCGGACCCTCCTCACGCACAGGGGAGGGCCGTCCGCTGAAAGGAGGCCAGGGGCCCCTAAAAACAGCCTCCAGCACTCCAGAGTCACGTGACCACAGCGGCTGCACTCCTGCTGCCCTGACAAACCAACACCAGTGCTATAAAGGGTTCATATGTGACCCTGGACCACAAAACCAGTCATAAGGGTAAATTTTTTTAAATTGAGATTTATACATCATCTGAAAGCTGAATAAATAAGCTTTCCATTGATGTATGTTATGTTATCATTGATGTTTGTTAGGATAGGACAATATTTGGCCAAGATACAACTATTTGAAAATCTGGAATCTGAGGGTGCAAAAAAAAAAAAAAAAAATACTGAGAAAATCATCTTTAAAGTTGTCCAAATGAAGTTCTTAGCAATGCATATTACTAATCAAACATTAAGGTTTGATATATTTACGGTAGGACATTTACAAAATATCTTCATGGAACATGATCTTTAATACAATGAACAAATACAAACCAAATATAGTTCAAATTCAGTTAGACTTGTTTTAACTAGTCTCTTTCATGTCATAAAGAAAATGTGAGTGGTCCTTGCTTGTGCAAAAATCAGCACATTAATGATAGGGTGTTATGGGTGGTTGCCAGGGTGTTGCTAACCAACAAACTGCTAAGCCGGTAACAAATACAAACCAACTATATTGGCTTAAATTGGATTGTTTAACTAATCTCTATTATTTCATAAACACAATTAGGTGTTTGCCCATGAAAAACCGGGTGTTGTGATTGCTGGGGTGTTGCTAGGGCGTTACTGTGTACTCATCTATGTAATGTATGAATTACATAAGATTGTTTTGTTATAATGTATTTTGTGCATGAAGTGTCCAACATTCCACACTTTTTTTTTTTCCCCCTTATTTAAGTGCATTTTTTCCTTTTCGGAATTTTCAGTGTGAGCACACTTCTCAAAAGAATAGTGCATACGTATGCGATTTAGGATGCACCTGATGATACTATGTTGCGATGCAGTTGCTAAGGTGTTCTGAATTACTTTTAAGTGTGTAAACCAGTGTTTTAACCATTTTTATCATGTTTCTATGCAGTAGCTAGTATGTTTTCTGTAGGATTCTGGCGTTTAGCTGGTTAAATTCTGAACTTACCGTAACTACTAGGTTTGATTGCATCATTATGAGCTCTAATACTAGTGATAATTTACTTATGTTTAACAGCATTTTAAACTGCAACTAAAAATAACAATAGTTTATGGGGAAAAAAATCTCCATGTAGTTTGACATCGAAAACATGAAAGCAAATGACACACCATGTATTCTCACTCAAAGTGCTGTAAGAACTAGTTCCTGCCGGGTCGGTTAAGCATTTCCTCCTTTCCCCTGTAGGGTGCCAGAGGCTGACTGACAGCTCATTATGGCTGGGATAAAGAACACAAAACAGCAGTGAAAACACACAAGAGCAGAAAGAGCGCATGACAAAAGCCATTCACACGTCAGACTCACCTCGGGCCACGACACGCCCCCTCTCGCCCTAATCTCACCGACACATACAATTTAAGCCGATTAAGAGTTAGTGCCATTACTGAGATTACATCAAGAGCACAGAGATTCACATGAGAAATGAGCAGAATGAATGTTAGAAGAACTTCACATGTTCAGCAGATCAGACTTTTGAAGAAAGTGATCAGACGCACCTGCTGGACCAGAAAACAAGTGGAAAAAATCCCACATCTAGAGACTAGAAGACTCATTTTATATGAGATGCGGCGCACTAAAGATGAATACTGGATATTTTCTTTTACCAATATTCACACTTTTCTACTCAAACAGTTACTGGTTCCTTAATATTGTGTCTACAGATAAATGGCAAAATGTTGGTCCAAATTTTCTTTCGGAAACATTTCACTTCATCAAAATGGACTTAGTTTGTCAACAACAGCAACAATAACATACACCTGAATTTATTTGATCAAAAATACACTAAAAATAGTAAAATATTATAAAAATTTATATAGGAGGTGGCTGTTTCTGACATTATGTTTGGGGTCAGTAAATTTTTTTCAAAGATTTCTGAACGACGTCTCTGCTGCTCACCAAGGCTGAATTTATTTGATCAAAAATACTGTAAAAGTATGAAATATTATTACAATCCAAAATAAGGGATTTCTATGTGAATATCTGTTAAACAGTAATTTATTTCTGTGATCAAAGCTGTATTTTCAGCATCATTAACGACTCAAGTGAGGAACAAAGGACGCGGGCACAAGCAGTCGAGATGGCACGGACTCTTGAATTACAATAGCGGCTGACGGAATGCGATCCGTGAGCGATGTTCCGCCTGACAGCGACTCTGACCCCTGCCACTGTGAAATTTCAACAGGGGATTTTCTGCCGCGCTTTTTTTCCTCCGCCTTCAGCGGTCGTTGAGAGTTCGGTCACGGAATCTGGGAAAGACATTCCACTTCCTATGAGCCAGCAGCTGCACGCAGGTGTGAAACCCAATCGGATTGCGGCACCCGATGCCATCAGACCATCGGCATCTCCGGACCATCCTTCAGCTCTCAACACTGCACTTACAACAGCGATCTCTCCCTGCCGTCTCAGACACAACATTATAAACATTTGATTATCCTGTATCCTGACATGTTCATCTGTGCATGTTAGAAGTTTAAACTAATCACTAACTATTTTTAAAGTTCCCCTATTATGGGTTATGAAAGGTTCATATTTTGGTTTTGGGAGTCCCCAATAACAGGTTGGACATGCATGCAAGAAACAGCTATTTTTACCGCTCCAAAAGCGGCACCTAGTGGCAAAAAATGATTTCGCATTTTCATTCAGACCAACGCAAAAATCAAGTTTTCCCAGGTCTGCGTGCGCAACAAGTGGGCGGGCAATATGCTAAATGTTGACGTCAACATGAAACGGCTTGGGATTCGTTTGAAAAACAACTCGTTTAAATGATTCAGAGTCGACTCTTTCTTTTGAGAGACAATAACTTTGTATACGGTGCACTTTCAGATTTAAAACTTTGCAGGATGTTTTCATTCGCTTAGAGCTGTGTTACACACTGCATGAAAGCTCATTTTCAAAAATCCATAATAGGGGAACCTTAAGGCAAGACACACCAGAAAAAAACTAATAGATATAACCATAGATATAACCAATAAATAGTCAAAACCCACTGCCACTTCCACCTGTATCATCAGGGTAAATTCAGCCTGTTCAATCAGAGATTATCTTACTATAGGGAGATAACCAATCACATTACAGTCTTGACGTCATTGAATTTCAGTCAGAGTTGTGCGACACTCAGTCGCCGTTTACGGATACCATAGGAATGAATGAGAAATGCCGTAAGCTGAATTGCACCTGTGGCAAAAAGTCAGTGACTTCTCTTATAAAACTGCATTTTTTTCATGGTAAACTCTAAAAATAGTTCAATCCAAAAGTATTATTTAGTGTAAAACATGTTGAAGATTAGCAGATAGGCTGTCGATTCATTAAATGATAAGCCGTTTCCTCTAAAAAGCTGTTTATTCAGTGTAGTGAAGCCTCTCCTCCATTGACATCCATTCAAAAAAAGGGCCTCTAGTCTCCTTTACCACGTACTGCCAGACCGGAAGCGTTAGCTTTAACCGTTACGTTTTTTTTGGGCTGATAGGCTGTCGATTCATTAAATGATAAGCCGTTTCCTCTAAAAAGCTGTTTATTCAGTGTAGTGAAGCGTTAGCTTTAGCCGTTACGCTTTTGCGGCAAATGGTTGCAGGCTTGCCTTCTAGTGGCTTTGTGTTCAATGGAACTCTGCACTTTACCTGCTGGACCATCATACACTCATAACGCATTTGACTGATAATCATGGACAATTTAAACAATAGACTTTACACTGACACTTTATCACCACTTTATTGCTACTTGCACTGCACATTTATACTGTGAATTTTTTTTATTGTCAGTTATTTTTCTAATTAGTATACAGGTTCTCTTTTTCTTTCTATTTTGTAACTTTTTTATGCTATTATTATTTATATTTTTATTATACTTTAGTGTATATTCTATTTTTTTTTTACGTATTTTGTATTGTCCTTGTAAGTTGTTTGTTTCCTTTCTACCCTGTCATTCTCGAGAGGAGTAAACAAAGTAAGAATTTAATTTTACTAGTACATATGACAATAAAGCTCTTGAATCTTCAATATTTCCACAGTTGATAACAAAAACTACAAATGTTTTTGTATTACAAGTTTTCTGACGTTTAAATATGCAAACGAGGCATTATCTAATTAAACATGCACTAATTTGCACAAATTTCCAGAAAATCAATATGAATATTAGATCAAGCCAGGTTCAACATTCTTGTTTGATTATGTCAGCATATTAGAATTAAAGGTTTTTATAGAGGGAATTTTTGATATCTCTTTTTATCGCTGGAAAAATCTGAAAATACTGTCAAAAGTGAGAAAAAATACATTTTTCACTATGTTTTTAGGAATATAATGTTATATAAAACCAGGCAAATTACAGATATGTGAACAAACCCCTCAGTAAAAACCTTCATAATATAGAAAGAAATAAAACTGTAAATTTTGGTGTATGTAAGTGCTGCTGAAGTGGAGAAAGAAACTCATTTAGAGAAAACGGCCCTTAAAAATACATAACTGAAATCTACAGACGCAAACATATAAAACGCAAAAATAAAACCAGGTGAATGATATATGAACAAACCCCTCAGTAAAATCCTTCAAAATATAGATATGAATAAAACTGTAAATTTTGGTGTATGTAAGGGCTGCTGAAGTGAAGAAAGAAACTCGTTTTTAGAAAACGGCCTTTAAAAATAAGTATTGTAAATTAAATCTATGGATGCAAATAAATAATGTA